CCAGCGGGTCGAGGCTGCGGTGGCCGGGAGCGGCCACTGCACTCCAGTCTGGGCGACAGAGTGAGACTCTAACTCAAAAAAAAAAAAAAATCATTAATTTGGGGTCTCCACCTCCTGGGCTCAGGCAATCCTTCTACCTCAGCTTCCTGAGTAGCTGGGCACCATACTGACTAAATATTATTTTTTATAACGACGAGGTCTCACTATGTTGCCTAGGCTGGTCTTGAACTCCTTAGCTCAAGCAATTCTCCTGCCTCAGCCTCCCAATGTGCTGGGATTACAGGCATGAGCCACTGCACCTACTTAGTCTTTAGCAGTTGCAGGACTGTTCTACTCTGACTCACTTAAAAGGCAGCAGCATCTTCCCCACTTCTGTTGCTGATAGCATCTGGAGGGATTAGGCTCGAATCTGAACTTGTCATCCTGGCTGCAGTTTAGAATCACCTGGGGTGCATTTATGAAGCATCTTGCCTGGTCCACACCCTGAAATATTCTGATTCAATTGGTGTGGAGAGAGACTCCGGTGCTGGTCCTTTTTTTTTTTTTTTTTTTTTTTTTTTTTTGCAAATCTTTAAATTAAAAAAAATTTAACTACCCTAGTGATTCTAATGTGCAGCCAAGGCTGAAAAATATTGCTCTAACCAGATCTCACGTCCGGTTTTCAGTCATCACTGGTTCTGTGTGGCCACTTAACTCCTCAACTGGAAGAGTATGGACTTCATCAGCTTCCTTCTGTTTTACTGCCATTTTTCACTTTCTAAATTTAGAGCGCTGATCTGTGATCTGATGCTGTGCCTCTCTCTAGGGAAGGTGTTTAAATCTCAGTGACGCTTTCATCCCTGGGAAATAAATTTTTTCAAAGCAGGTGAAAATACAGGGTTACAAGTGAAAATACAAAAATACATGTTATACCTACTTGATTTCACTTATCCGAAAAGCTCATGGGTAGATTTTACAGGCGACTAATTGAATTCAATAAGCAGAATATTAAAGTTATATTCACGATCAACTTTTGAAAGATAAAAGATGTAGGGCATGGTGGCTCATGCCTGTAATCTCAGCACTTTGGGAGGCCAAGGCGGGAGGATTGCCTGAAGCCAGGAGTTCGAGGCCATCCTGGGTAACATGGCAAGACTTCATTTCTACAATAAGTTAAAAAGTTAGCCAGGAGTGGTAGCGTGCACCTGTAGTTCCAGCTACTCGGGAGGCTGAGGTGGAAGGATCACCTGAGTCCAGAAGGTCAAGACTGCAGTAGCCGTGTGCCACTGCACTCCAGCCTGTGTGACAGAGTAAGAGCCTGACTCAAAATAAAATAAAATATAAAAGACTTAAAATAACAAATAATGATAGCATCCTTTGTAATTTAATTATGTTTAACTTAGAAGCAAATTAGGACTGGTAAATATGC